CACTATCATTTCATTTCAGGTTTATTGTTGCTTAATATAATTGTTATTTTCAACTATCCTTTTTTAATTATTCTTTTTTACTTGTTTCAGGGATTTCAAATCATTTTATAATAGACAATGGAAGTCCGAACTAGTGAAATTCATCACGAAACATTGTCAATCACCTTCAAACAAACGTTTTAGTTTACGCTTGAGCAAGCTATTGCATAGCGAAACATGTGTCGTGGTTTTTGTAAAACCCTTCAGAGTGAAAATCATACAATAAACTATATTAATTTTTTTTGTTTGAATTAGGCCTAACTGGCCATTATAAATAATTTTTGAGGTTATAGACTGGGAAAATGTTCAACATTTTATAGCTAAGGTCTAGAGAAAAGTGTTGAGATCTTTGCAAAACCCTTAAAGTGAAAATTTCGAAGTAAATTGTTACCAGTTATTGTAAACACATTCTCAATTTTATATAATCAAAAATACCAACAATCGCTTCAATTATTTCACTTTGCAAAAAATGTATGTATGTTGCATGTTTAGTAAACTGAAACAATTAGATTAGATTCAGAATCTTTAGAAAAAATAATGCTTAGCTTTTAATAAACTGCACGATTTTACTTAGGGTCGTAAAATAATAAAAATTATGTGCATGGTATGAACAGATCATGGTATGAGTATACTGGTTCAAAGAATGCAACCACGCTGTAGTAAATAAGATGATGAGTATTAATTCATCGATACATATCAGATAACCCTGCCTTGGTTCAGTACATTCTTCAGTAAGTCTTGCATCTAAAAAATGTTCGTGATATATCCAATCTCTTCGTGAAAGTGTTGATAAACGTTGAATTTGAAATAAAAGTATAACTAAATTAAAATAGTCCACTGTATCAAACAACGATTGTTGTGTTTCCGTATCGTTGGTCTTTCCGCGGGTGAAAAAAAACACGAGGCGCGAACAGATAAAATCATTGAATTTGTCATGCAGGAGGGTGCATAAAATTTGAATATAAAACTATTTATTCCGCCGTCAAGTGCGTTTTTACCTCGGAGCTTTTTGACGACAACACCAGTGAAGCTTTGATAAAAAATCGGCAGTGAAAATTGAATTCTACACGGTTGTAAAGATAAAAATATCCTCTATATATTTCCATACGTGTATATATGTATGTATATCTTGAATAGAATTTCAATATTATGTAAATTCCTTTAACAAGGATTGAATTATTTTCGCTATATAACTTTTATGTAAGGTTATGTAAGGTAAGGTGTGGTAAGGTTATGTAAGGTTGTCCAACATACATAGCTGTTGGGTTTTGATTCCTACAATTTTCAAATTTGAATCAGATATCATTCACAGGATTGCTACACAATATAGTATACTATAGTATATAGTCTAATCAACAAGTTCAAAAACATGAAAAATAGAGATAAAGGTCCTAAAAATATGAGCAATAGCTCATTCGACTCGGAATTACCTCTAGAAAAATGTGTTTGAAGGATTTTGGTGCAGGTGAAAAATTGCAATTGTTATTAACAAAATAAGATTTAAAAATAAAGGTATTTAGTTTTTCTTTAATAACTCAACAAATATTAATATTTAAGCGAAAAGAAGCTCGTTAAACAGGAGGAAATTTTCGATAAAAAAGTCTATCTCCATTATTTATAATTTTAATTTTCGTTGAAAATAGGGTTCCGCGCGGCTGTTACGGCATGCGCGCGCTGCCGCAAAGAGAGTTTATCAAAAGAAATAATTTTTTTATAACATAAAATGTCATTTTGAAAATTTGTAAAAAACAGTGGCAGTTATTAACATAGGATATGAATTTTTTACGTAATTTGTTTATTAAATTTAAAAAATTTGTTAGTTAACAATTGAATAACTTTTTGAAAAATGGTGATAAAACTTTTTTTCTACGGGACTCGATTCATTCAAGTGTTAAGAAGATACTAGATTTTTTCAAATTTTTAAAATGACATTTCAAGTTATAAAACAATTATTTCTTTTGATAAACTCTCTAGCGGCAGCGCACGCATGCCGTAACAGTCGCGCGGAACCCTATTTTCAACGTCAAATTAAAATTATAAATAATGGAGAGTTTCGAGAGTTGGGACTTTTTTATCGGAAATTTCCTCCTCTTTAACGAGCTTTTTTCGAAATTGCTTAAATTTTAATATTTTTTGAGTTATTAATGAAAAACTAAATACCATTTTTTTTAAATCTTATTTTGTTAATAACAATTGCAATTTTTTACCTGCACCAAAATCCGTCAAAAGCATTTTTCTAGAGGTGATTCCGAATGGAATGAGCTGTCGCTCATATTTTTAGGACCTTTATCTCTAATTTTCATGTTTTTGAACTTGTTGATTAGACTAATAATAAATATGCTATATATGTGCTATATGTAGTATACTATAGTATATTATATAGTATACTATAATGTGTAGCAATCCTGTGAAAGATATTTGATCCGATAGTATACTATTTTTCGCACATATATAGTAAATATTTAGTATATATAGTATATTATATTGTGTAGTAATCCTGTGAATGATATCTGATTCAATTCTATAAAAAATATTTGGAGTATACAAACCGAAAGGGAAAAAGCGATTTTTGTATAATTCAATTTTCATATAAAAACAGTTGTTTCGAAATCATTGTTTCTTTCGTGTAATTCAATGTTTATATGAAAGTAATTGTTTCGAGCCGGCTTTCTTCTTCTAGTTTGTCTATGAAAGTTACTTCTTTGTATGATCTACACAATACATTTTTTTAAAAGTTTATTCTGGATATATTTGCTTCCTCCCTTTCTTTGGAAAATTCCCAGTATTTTCAATACCTTGTATCATAGAAACGAAAGCGTTGCAGAGACATGCTTATATGAACTTTTTCCCTTAAAATACTTGAGTAATTCTCCTATGAAATTTCGGATTGAACTTCACTTTTCTCAGTAACGACGTCGCTTGATATATATTTCAAAACTCAAAAGTCATAAAACATTCATTCACAAGTTATATGTTTCATTTGCATAAAACCGTTGATTAATCGTTTCACAGTCTAAATTGAGTTTAATTTTTATCACCGATATTGACCTCTGGAGATGGCTTCGCCAAAGCAGTTCCTTTGACGATTAACACGATTTATGAACTGGTTAATAAACTTCGAAGGGTGGCTTTTCAATAAACACAAAGTATCATGTCGTAACGTTGTTATTTGACAGGAGCAACAGGGATAGCATTACAACCCCACAACAAAGAGTCGTTAGAAACGGCCAAGAAAATAATATTCATATTATGTTATACTCCATTAAATATATAGGAGTGTTGGGGTGAAATTCATGTGGGAAATGACATTATAAAGAGAATTCTTCATAATATTCATGTAATTAATGATAATTTTGATTCGGTGCTAGAATCGAGCGGTATCTTCAATAACCTTATCTAATTTGGCAACATACCTGGTATATAGGTACGTACCCTCCAAATTGAATTATAACGTGCTTGATGATTGTATGATAAATTTCCGTTAGACAGCAGCGCCGCATTTAAATTGTCAACAATTCAATCCATGTATTAAAATTCA